CTATATTCCGATATGAGCGAGTGAGTACCGCTTGCGTAGGCTCCGTAGTAGCTGTACAAGTTGTCTACCTCATGAGTCGTCGGGCTTGCCAACTCTTCATTGAGGTTGATGTTCACCTTACTTTGTGTTCTTGTTGCTTTTTGCTCCTCATGCTTCATTACCATATGAACGGGTTGGCAAGCAAAGTAGTTTCACGCTCTGACCATGACACATGGTCGTTAACGGACTCGTCTCTGTCTGAGCCATTTTGGCGATCTCAAGCAAGGCTGCTGCGTAGCGAATGCGTGTACAGCATGGGTGCACAGGAGAGCGTCCTGCAGATGGAGGAGCGCCAGGCCGCCGACCCTGATGGCAAGTGGCTTGTTGGCTCGCTCACACCGAAGTCCGAGTCAGCCAAAAACAATGCTGTCAACTTTGGCTTCAATGATTCCCTGCAGCAAGATCCGGCTTCAGCACGGGTTTTCGCACACTCCTTGGCATCGGGTACTTTCAAGGATGAATTTGTTGTGCAGCTGAAAGGTGTTGCCGACGTTCAATTCTGGCAAGGTGTTCGGTGCAGGTCAGATTTCGAACAGTTGCATGAGGAGCTGGGACGAGAACATGGCGGGGAAATCATACAGCCTCTTCCCAACCGCACAGCCGAATACTTCAAGATGCAGCCAGTGGTCTGGAGCGTCTACATGCACGAAAGCAGTGTGGGCTTGGAGGACTGGCTGAACCAAGTCATTGACGCAGGCTTTGGCCGCGCAGGGTCTTTCAAGAGGTTTCTATCGAACCAAGCGACCCAAGGGCCCACAGGCATCCATGGCTGGGACAGTGCCTCGCACATGATTTTGTCCTTGCCGATGCTGGACGATGTCATCAACTTTTTGGAGGAGCCCCTCGATGTGGCTCACTTGTGCGAGCTTTCGTCGAAAACAATTTTCGAGAACGGCAAGCTCTTCTGTCCCACGCAGTGGGAACGCATGTATGCTGAGCGTTGGCCGGCATTCCATGAAGCCCAGTGCCATATGTCAGAAGTAACTCACATGAAAACGGATTGGAAGTCTGTGTTTCTTGGCAGCAAACAAAGAGTAGCGCAAAATACGAGCATTTTCGAGAACTGCGCTTCGTTGTGAGCTTGGAAGGTACCGCCACACCTGTTCTGGAAAATATGAAGCATTGTTGGAGGCTCTCTGCGATGTAGCAACGGAGGTAATGTCGGTATGCATCCTTCCTGGCGCACTGGGAGGTGTACGACCGGGAGAAGAAGCTCGGATTTGCTATGTCCTGCATGTTGGCCAAGGCAGCGGTGCTGTGCGATTGCTGCTTCCATGAATGATCTGGTGCAGGTGTGACCCAAACGTCAGTTTACACGAGCATGTGTACTGCATCATGCTGACTGTCGCATGCCTAAAGTTCCTTGCTTGTGAATCCTGGAAGCAAGCGGACTTATGAAAAAACTGTACAGATAAATGCATGATAACACATGGATATGCATAGTTGCGTGCATGTCTCGATACTGCAATGTACACAGATAAAGACATAAGTATGTCTGTGTGTCTATATATATATATATGTATTTATGGGACCACAACTAGAAATGAAATTTTGTATGAACTCGTATGTGTACTTGTGTGTATACATGGCAATATATGGCGGTGAACGTATGTATGTATGCATGCATGCATGTATAGAGAGAGAGAGAGAGAGAGAGCAAAAAAGGCTCTGCATATCGGGAGCACCATTGCGCAAGCTGCAAATCTACTTGTGGGCACAATGTTCTCGCGAGACCTCCACCGTTGTGTGTACACTGTTGTTTATGAGCAGTCGCTTCGAAGGGGGAATCATTGCCTGAATGTGCCGGTGACAACCCACGAAGGTTAGGTAGCTGCTGTTATCCTAGGCAAGCTGAAACTGTAGGTAGGGGACAAAACCGGTACGTGTACTTTTCCCAGTTCCTTCAACAAACCTCCAAAATTGGGGGGCACTAGCGGCAGAGGGGCTTGAGATGCTCCCCGTACACTTACAAGATCCTAACCAGGCAAAGACCACCAGCGGCGAAATCCATTCTTTAGTGTTCCAGAAGTGGTTTTTGTGCGTTCCGGAAAAGCCGTCTGAATGCTTGGCACATACGACAATGTGCTCCTGGATCGCTTGCCGGGCATACGTTGAGAGAGAGTGAGACAGAGAAAGAGAGCGGGAGTGAGAAGTAGTCCCTCTCCAAGCCCGCGGGAAGAGTTTCAGAGAGCCGCGTCTTGCGTGCTTGGGGTGGTTGCCAGAAACGCTTTCTGGAACGCTTTCTGGAATGCTTTCGGAATGCTTTCGGAACGCTTTCTGAACACTTTCTGAACACTTTTTTCCTGGGTTTTAGCAGATTTTAGCACTTTGCAAAAAGCATTCCAAAAGCGTTCCGTAAAAGCGTTCCGAAAGTGTCCTTGCACAGCCTTTGTGTTCTGAAAGTGTTCCCCAAAGCGTTCTAGGATCGCTCCCCTCCGCTTCCCCGTGCCTCAGGAGCAGTCAGTCATGGGCCCACCCGCGCACACGTCAAACATCCCACTGCAGTCATAAGCCAAAATATCACCAGTATGGAATGCATTCGGAATACAATCGGAAAATACTTTTAGAACTCTATATGGAACACTATTAATTGAAAACAGATGAACCCCTCCTTTCCCTGATTTGGAATCTTGTAACCGTACACTGTGGAAGAGGAGAGAGCGAGCGAGAGAGAAAGCCTGGCGAAGAGAGAGAATGAGAGAGAGAGAGAGCGAGAGAGAGCGAGAGAGAGAGAGAGAGACAAAAAATGCGAGCAAGCAAGCAGAGAGAGAAAATACAGGAGTGGGTCCTAGAAGCCGGAGGTCAGCTGGGACGCCAACATCAATTGCTACATTACCAGCTACGTGAGCGCCAGCCAGGCCATGTCAAGATGCGCGCAGTTTGAATGCGGGCAAAGGTGGGGTTAAGATTTCGCGAATGTCTCGGCTGTAATTTTTTGCAGGTGCTTCCGGAGAAGATCCCATACCACGAAGGGCACAGGCTGCGATTCTGCAGGCCCTCGGTGCGCGAAGAACTGAAACCTGAGCTCATGCCGCCGCTGGCGCCGGAAGTGTACCTCATGGCAAGAGGGAGTCGCTGTGAGTTGCGGAATGTTTGGCATAAGACGAAGTCTGTGCATCGAAGCGATTTAGAGTGTTGTTTTCGTGCAAGGTATGGCTATCGTGCACCTTGGATGCATAGGCTCATGTGATGCGACGAGATCTAGTGCAGAGAGTGTGTGCGCTGATGCGGCGAAAGGTTCTTCACGATGTGCCCGACCTCAAAGTGGGCCAGGGCTTGGAACTCCAGTGGAAGATGCAGCAAGGCAGCCCTTTCGGCTGGTGGTTCGGCATTGTGGAGTCTGTTGTGCGGGACCCCAACAGCACGAAGGCAATCGTCACCATGACTTTTGATCATTTCCCGGCCACTTCCCGGTGGCGCCGTTTACAGATCACTGTAGGAGATGGTGCAACGCGGCCATGCGCCATAGGAGGTTGGCATGGCGGTGTTCGAGCAGTGAGCCCATCGGAGAAGAAAGAATGGGCAAAATTCTTTCCAAAGGAACCTGTGATTTTCTGAGTACAGATCTCAGGATTGTCGAGGCAATGCCATCGCAATTTCTGATCACTGCAATTCCATCTTGCACGCAGGTGTTGCTGCTGGCTGGTTTGATCCAAGATCTTACCGAGCTAGCAAGCGGCAGCAGCTAAAGTTGCTCGTTCGTCTTTACCGTAAAATTTTCCATCCAAATTCCATGGCCAGTGTTTGAAGTCCGGAGCTTGCAAGGTAAAACCTTGTATAGCATCCAAGACTCGCACGTTACGCCAGGCACGTTTGAAGTGCCACTTGTATAAAAAACTCTCGACATCCAGTGCACAGCAAGCGGGGGTGATTGCATCGTTTGCGTTGTGAGGATTTGTAAGTCTCTTAGTGTTTTCGTGGGCTGCCCGTGTCTTGACGGGGTGACAGCAGCACGCGCAATTAGACGTCCCTCGCCAAATTTCGCCGTGATGCGAAACAAAGCATCAGCATTCGGCTTTCAAAAGCCCAGTTGGCTGCTGAAGTGTGATCACCGTGACCGTCATGAGTCATGGGAGAGCATCGCTAGTACTGTTGGTACCTTGAAGCCGACCCTAGGTCCCTAGGTGATTCTTCTGGTGGCCCTGTGGCTCCTTCCAGGCCTCTGCTTGGAGCGAAACAGACAACGGACACGGTTCGACACGAAAGGGACCTGCACTTTCCGAGAGATCGCTGGGCGTGGAGCAAGTCTTACACGTAACTGCCGCCCTGGCTTGTTGGGTGTTTTGCTCAGACCGGTTGGAGAACGGGGCCCTCGATGCGGCCTGTTAAGCATGCCCAAGTCTTACATGCCAGTAGGGTTCAGGGTTCAGATTCTGTTTCAGCTGAAAGCTGCTCAAACCTTTGCCGCATAACCTTGAAGCCCTGTTTCTGCAAGGTCTGGCCGGCGTGGATATGGAAGCAAACTCCCTCCTGGAGGGCTGCCGCCCATCGTAAGGCTAGGGCGGTTTAGGCTGCCCGACTTGACTTGGGTTCGGGGTTGAATGCTTGGGAGATCTGCAGATGCCCTCATCTCGCAATCCAGATGCAAACAAAAGGGTTTATGAGGTAGCCTAGGCTGCACACTCCAAAACCCTTCAGAAACGCACGAAACGGAGTACGGTTCCTTCGTCACTGCACGTCACTGTGGCTATTGCTTGCATTCCGCAGGGCTCCGGAAACTTTGCAAGGTGCCCAGTGCCTTGAACGTGTCTTCGGCTAGGGATCTGGCCTTGACTTCCGAATTGGTCCGAGTCTATTCCGATTCCGAGAAAGGTGCTAGTAGGAGGTTCGTGAGGTGTCGTTTCGGACGGCCATCGCCGATTCCCTGCGAGTTTCACGGCCCAGGCTGGGGCAAAGTCCACGTATACAGAAGACGAGTTGGAACGTTGGCCGGTTGCTCAACATGCCCTGCTGTTTCGTAGAAGAGGGACAGTCATAGTGTCAGGACCTGCACGAGGGCATTGCAAAGCGTGATGTGGAGGTCATGATGCAATGTCTGCCGCGTCTGTCTGGCTGGACAACGTTGCGACCCAGGGGAAGCGCTCCGACCTCGGTGCAACTTTTGGCGGGACGGGGCTCGGCAAAGCGATGCCAATCCAACGCCCAATGTCGAGCATGTCCTGATTCCTCGGCCTACAAGCAGATTTCGTGACGACTTGCTGTTTTCTTGTGCTCTTGGTGCCATAGGCATCGGGGACCGGGTCACCGACGAACCGGTCCTCTACAAAGGCGATGTGCCTGGGCCCGAGGCTGTATATTCACAGTCTCCACTGGGAAAGACGCATGGGAGACGCTCTTGTGTCTGGAGCGTTTCATCCTGCCTCGACTCTGACGAGTCATGAAGCTCCTTTGTGCAGCCGGTACAAGAGAAGACGCGGCTTGCATGGGAAGGTCAGGTTTCACAAACCTGCAGGGGATAAGGGTACTTCATGTCCCCGCAACTCAAGCACAGACTTTGCTGTTGTCAGCGACGTCATTCTACAACAAGAGCGAATTTAGCGACGTCGCCCCAAACCTGTGAAGTTAGTGACTTAACTCCCGACTCTCTGAAAGCACAACTTCAGAACTACAAGCTGCTATGCAGTGCTATCCCAGCACCTCCCAGACAAGCATGGTTCGGTAAGCCACGGTGAATCAGGAGCCTTCGCGACCTGAGGAAGTTTGACCTCCCAGTCAGGTGCCGTGGGTCCATGATTCATGATCAGCCTAGAGGATCCTAGAGGCCTAAAGTGTGGAAGAATTTTCACATGCCCAGATGAATGTGTCGAGCGCGGAGGCGTCTCATTGCTTCGACTGGGGCTCTGACTGCCCGGGAGCTGCACAAAGCCAGTCGCACGGATGAGGTGACCGGTTGTGAAGCAATTTCAGGGCCGAGGGAGGGAAGGGTTTACCCATGAAGTCCTTGAGTTCCTTTTGCACTGAGCTCCGCTCAAACACTGTCTGTCGGCTTCAGAGTGTAAGCAAGGCTAAGACTTAGACTAAGAACTCACCGAAGCGTGAGTGTGCGACAACAAGAAGCAACGGGAAGGAGCGAAGAAGGAACATTTACAAGCCCTGAGCATCCCTGGGCCGTACAATGGTGAGAGGTTCGTCTTCAGCAACGGAATGCCGCACGAAAAGCAGACAAGCAGAGGTCAATCCCGCAAACCCAAGTTGTTCCAAGAGTGCGCATGGCGCGTGGGTTTTTGCGGCACACCCCGGCTTTGCAGCACCCGCTTCGTAGAGTGAGAGAGACAGAGAGACAGAGAGAGAGAGAGAGAGAGCAAGAGAGAGAGAGAACGAGGGAAGACGTACCAGCGCGGACCGTGGTGGGGTTGGCTTTCGGGCCGGGGGGTTCGCCCCCAAACCCCTAGCAAGCAAGCAAGAACGAGGGAAGGAGCAAAAGAAAGGGAAAGAGAGCGAGAGAGAGGGAGAGCACACAGGTAGAGAGAGAGAGAGAGAGAGGGAGAGCACACAGCGGACCCGTGCCGACATCTAACAACACCTACTCCACAAACCGAACAGTACAGACCCGAAGTGGTTGGCTCATGAAGTTTCTGTTGTGTTCACTGCTAACTCAATTTGTTGCCTCTACTAGGGGACAAAACAGGAGCAACCTCGGTCTGGAGAGGGCGGGTTACCCGGCAATGCCCGGGAGCCCCGGAAACCCGCACCAGCAACGGTTCAGCCCACGCGAGTTGGCCCAAGCCGGGGAGTAGAGTTCTAGGATGCAAGCAGGCAAGGGCCTAAGGGGTGTTTTCGCGGGCCCGGGGGCTAAACCGCACAACGGGGCTGAACCTTCTGTCTCACACAGACCCAGACACGGACAGTGGCGTAGCGTGTGAGCGCAGGGTATAGGGGACTTGTCCCCTGTGCCCAAGCGCCGTGCAAGCAAGCAAGCAAGAGAGAGAGCGAGTGCAGTGGGGACGAAAGAAAGGCAGTCGCGGTTGATAGAGCCCATGGTGGTTTTGCAGTGTACCGGTCTCGCCTCACCTTGTCGTTAGTAACCGAACCGATGCGCGCTTCATCGCAAGGGAGTCTTTTATTGGCTCCGAAGCCTGTGGATTGAAGAGAGAAACAGAAACCCAATCGGAAGCAGGAACTCAAGGGAAGAGGAAGTACACACTCAACATGTTCTACTGAATAGCTTCAGTTGACCTCCCAAAATGCAGGAGCTGTTCCAGCCGCTCAATAAGGACAGGCTGCAGCATTCTTCTCCCCTCCAAGCGGTTTTTGTTTGTGGTTTAGTATCGTACTTAGGTTATACGATGCCAACGAGATTTTTCAACTCCGCAGCCGGCCAGGTGACCCGACAGAGAGGTTTTTCGAGACCCCATTCGTGGCTCAAGCTTGTCGTTGGTCCTTAGGACCCAGTGGGTGCAACTTTATATGGGGCAGCGAGTGATGCTGCTGCATAGCGAGTCTGCCCGTTGTGCTTCCCAAAGCCTGCAAGTGGAGGGAGCTTTTCTTCGACATGTTATCAAGACGGTTTCCATCTTCGACTGCCACTATAGGAATATAATAATATCGGTTTTGATTTCTCAGCCGCTCCATAGGATGCCATGCTTGGTCGGAAGCTGGAGCCGGCATTGTCCTGAAAGTGCGGAGGTTCGAGCATGTGAAGGGCTCGCGTCCAGCAAGGGCAATGGACTCTTCGCCAAGCGGTCCCTTCTTGAGGATGAGTTGCTCTTCGAAGAGGATCCGGTTTGTGGCATGGCCATGCTGATGTTTGACGACGCCTCGTCAGAGGGATTCTGTCAGCATTGCTTAGTGTGGCTGCGCGAAGATTCGGGGAAGGTGTTTTGTCCCCGGAAGTGCGGAGCACCGTACTGCAGCCATTCGTGCCGCGACGCAGCTCATTGGGCTTACCACGATGTGCTGTGCCCTGCCGCCAACCCCAGATGGGCCGAATATGTGCAGCGAGCGCAGGAGTGTGGCAACGAATATTACGTATTGGCAGCTCGAGCACTCGCGAGTTTGCGGAACTGCGTCCCTGTCCCTGTACCCCAGGGCGATGCATGGCAGCAGACGCCTTGGCTGGGATACGCGGCACCGCCCTGGTGGCAGACAATGAAGCGTCCAGTGTATGACACGGACGACGAGTCTGACACCGCCGCCAGCACCTCCGAGGACTTGGATTCGGAAGCCAATGCTTCCCTGGATCGTTTCTTCCAGTCTGCGGTGCGCACACAGACCTCCGAGATGGCGGAAGAGCTCTCGGCAGTTCTGTCGGGGTCGAGTGCTGCAATCGCATCGTTGTTAGCTGGACCAGAGGCCCTGGGTCGATTGATGGGGCTTGTGAGGGTGAATTCTATGGCCGTCCAGTCACAGAGCTATGAAGATTCTGAAGATGGACTGGCCAAGGGCATGGCCATCTACCCTGTCACGTCCGCCATGAACCACGATGTAGAGTCGAACTGCTATGTTGCAAGCAATCCGCTCGAGCCCCAGCGATGCTATGTGCGAACACGACGGCCGGTGGCTGCGGGCGAGGAGCTGTGCATTGACTACTTGAGTGGAGCTCCCTACAGCATGGAACAGCGGCGAGAAATATTGCAGCATCAATACGGCATTCCTTGTTCGGCATAGCCGCAGATAGGCTCTCGACCCGATTGTGCACCAGACAAAAAGCCGCATTCAGCCACCAGGTTTGTGCATCCAAGTCGGTCCCGCGGGTCCCCAAACCCTGCTTGCCCACTCTACAGGAGGAGCGCGAGATGAAAGTCATCCTCCAGCTGATCAGCGAGAAGGCAGCGCAGAAGCCCGCTCCTTAGCCCAGACCTCCGAAACGAGGTTGCCTGTGTGCTTGGATGCTATGAGCCCAGCTGACGTGCCCGTTCGAAGGTTCAATTCCATTCGCAGTGCCCTGCGGCATTTGGATGCCGACTGCGACGGAAACGTGGACCGTAGTGAGGCCACGGCTCTGTTGATTTGGTTTTCTGGATCCCCCGCTGAAGCCAAAAAGGCGCGGCACAAGGGCCCTGCATGCAGTGTCCTGTTCAAGGCTTTGGCTCAAGCTGGCTCAGGGCCTTGGATTCGTAACTGCTAGAACATGCTAGAACCACTGCCTGGAGACCTGGCGCAGCCTGCAATTTTGAAGGACACAGAGCCAATCATGCATGCTGAGACGGAAGGTTTGGACTTAAAAACTAATCAGACCCCAGCTTTTCTGTGTTCTCTGCTCTGGTAGAAAGCAGGCTTTTGGATGTTCGCAGCTGAAGGACGTTGTCTATCATGCAGCTTCGCGGCTTGGAAACAAGTGTCTCTCGTTGTCAACTGTCATGCGGCTCTTCGGATTTGCCATGGCGCCGGGATCTGCATGGTTTCTCCGCCTTCTGCCTGGCGGTCTGCAGCCTGAGTTTCTGTGACCTGCTTGAGGCGGGCACCTTGTCGTAGTTTTAGCGCAGAGACTCACGCCCGCAGGTGTTCGTTGACACGTTCAGTACCGCTTGTCTGCATCTTCTTTCCTTTGCTGTTTGTTTCGCTAAACCAGTATTGTTTGACTTTCGGTTTGCTTCATCTGTGGCATTTCTACATTGCTGTCGCTTCTTCCGGGATCTTCTGTGATTTTCTGCGGCTCCATACCACTTGACGGCTGACGTGTAGTGCCAAAGCTGTGTCCATCCCCACTCTTGCACCGCGGATGCTTCGACGAGAACGCTGCCGAATGTGAGCCAAACCCGGAAACCATGCAGAAAGTCGTTCACCATAATTAATAATACGGATGCGGAGGTACTCCCGGATGACGACACGTGCTGCTGCCCGTCAAGCAGTGCGCTCTCAGTATTTCTTCGTAGCGAACGACGAGGAAGCCTTTTCTGTGCCTGCCCATACGACAAGAATTCTGGTTCCGGTTTTCTTGTGCGCCTCTGAATCACTTCTATAGAGTGACACTCTCCCACCATTCTCACACAGTAGAACTGCCTGGCATCTTCCGCTCAGGTCTTCGGGAGGCAAGAAGTGCAGGACATCAATACCATCCGTCAAGTCACGTGGTGAGGATTTGAGAGGGCCGGCCCGTGATCTAACATCCCTGTCACGAGCTTTCGGGGCCGATCAAAGCTCAGGTGACAGATGTGGGATACCTGGTCTTCTTCTTGCTGGTCCTCTTGCTCATGGCTAAGCTTGACGCCGATGCAGTGTCCAAGGGAAACTGGGCTCTTGAGAGCTCCAACTACGCCGGCATAATAAGGAAACAATCTTATTTACCATATTTCCCAAGAGAGGCAACTTGAATTAAACTTACATTAGCTAATGAGATGAGAAACGATACTCTTTTGCTGTAGAGCCTTATGATGGTAACTTAGAAACTTTGAGTTCCATAACCCTAACAGAAGCCTTAATCATGCCTTAATAGATCTCTCACTCGAACCTTTATTCTGGTAGCTCAGAACTCGAATTCCTTAGCAAGCCCAGGAAATGTCTTGAGACTCTCAGAGCCGATTGACTTTAAGGGTCGGCTCTGTGGCTACGATGAGGAGGCCGATCTGACTCGAAAGAAGTAACCTCCCAGAGTCCTCAAAATAACGCTTACAGCAAACCGACACCTTGAGAGTTTCCGGGATATCGAGTTCAATTCGGACGTTTATGGGCAGGTGCTACAAGGGTATCAGTTATGTCCATCGCGGTTCAGCAGCTGCTCACGATGCCGGTAAGATCTAGGGGCTCGATCAGGTGAAAGACAAGCCTCTGGGCTACCATCCGAACCCGTTCAACGACATGGTCATTTGCGTTTCGGCCTGCCCGCAGACGGCCACCGATGGCACTTTCACCTTGCCCGATGGCCCCATGGGGAAGGACGGGCTGGGGATTGATTGTCTGGGTTGCGAAAGCGCTCCGTTTGCCGCGGAAAGTTACAGTTGGCATGTCAATGAGTTCTTGGCATGGACACTCTGCGCATGAGAGTGCACGGGCGCGGAAAGGAGCACACCCGGCCAGCCTACCCGACGGACAATATCTATGGTCAGCTGTGCTTGCCCTTAGATCTGGAGCTTGCGCGCCTCATTATCTCTGTCAAGAGTGTCCAGACGGAGATGTACAAAGCCCTAGGAGTGATCTTCACATCCTCAGACGGCATTTTGGTTGTGCTTGCGGTCCCTTTCGTGACATCCTTCATCTACTTGATCGCTCTTTACTATATCCCCACTGCTGCTACCACCTTGGCCTTCTCCATCACGGCCGTCACTTTGGCCTTGGTCGGAGTGCTCATGGATCTTGACCTGAGTGTCATGAAGGGCATCGACCTCTTCAAGGAGACGCACCCCCTGATGCTGATGGCCTTCCCCTACTTCCGAACCTGCTGCTACCTCTCCAGCTTCTTATTTTTCCTGGTCCTAGGTGCAACGATTTCAGCCATGGTGCGGGCGCATGCTGTATTCCGAGAATGTGTGGCTGCAATCTTTGATCCGAATGTCCTGGTCACCGTTTTCACGAGTGTGGCGCTGTCTGTCATTCGCATTGGGTTCATCCTCTACGTGTGCAGGCCTATGAATTCAGAAATTAGCTGAGACTTAGGTAAGAGCTGCGGTAGTGCTGGCGTTGATGAAAGTGTCGTGTTGGTGGTGGCAGGAGTGCAAGAAGTAGGGAGAAGGAGCAACACCAGGAGCAGGAGGAGGAGGAGGCGGAGGTGGAGGAGTAATCTGCGATGAAATCAAATTCAGAACGTGTGCCTCCGTCTTCCCAAAGCACTCTTTATGAAAGAGAGGAGGAGTGGGAAGGAACAGCAAGATTCAATTTGTTTCAAAATGACTCCGACGAGCCTGTCTTCGTCAGGCGCCTAGCGCTGCTCATGAGCATCGTGGAGCCCTACCAGGCGCATCTAGGGGGCAACCTTAGCTCTTGCTACGTTTTCGTGCTCTTTGATCCGAAGAATAGGAACAGCAACTACTAGTTACTGCTACTCGTACTACTTCGGCTGCTGCTTCTACTAAGACGACGGCGGCCACTTCTACCTCTACTACTGCTCCTGCTGTTACAACGATGACGACTTTGCCTCTGCAAAAAACTACCACCGCCACAACCACCACCACCACCACCACCACCACCATCACCACCGCCGCCACCACCATCACCACCGCCACACCACCACCGCCACCACCGCCACACCGCCACCGCCGCCACCTTCACCGCCACCGCCACCACCGCCCCCACCACCGCCCCCACCGCCCCACCACCGCCACCACCGCCACCACCGCCACCACCGCCACCGCCACGATATTAGGGACAGGTAGTGGTGGTGTACTGATGTTGTGTTTGTTGTTGTTGATCATGCTGATGATGTTGTTGGTGATGCTGGTGATGAATCTGAAGCGCACTTTGCAGGTTGAGCTCCAGCTCTTCGGTGAGGTGCATTTCGTGGAGAGGACGGCCTGGTCCCCGTTCTTCTTGATGCTGGGCTCGCAAATAGGCTGTCCTGGGGCTCGAGATTGATTGATTGAGAGTTGCGCATTTCGACAGGAACAGGAGCTTTCCAGGTTCTGTGGAGTCTGTCGCGTGGTGCGCTGAGGTGGGGCGTCTTCTTCTATGTCTTCGGAACTTTTTGGATTCTGGAGTTCCTGTCCTTCAGCAACAAGTTCATCACGGCGCAGGCTTCGTTTATTGCTTGCAAGAGGTCAGAACATCAAACCTAGAATCCCGATGTCGCCCCTGGTGACTAAGATTGCAGCCTTCTTTGATGCAGGTCAACGAAGGCATAGGTGTTCAGTTTGTCTCGAAGGAGGGGCTGAAGTGCGAGAGGAACGCTAGCAGGGGAAGACATCGATGCTTCGGGATGGGATGCCGCAGCAACACTCACGCTGCCTCGTGCCCGGCACAGAATAGACTGACAGCCGGCAGTTTATGTGTAGGGCTTGCAAAAGCGGAGTCCCGAGGTAGACTGCGCCCGAAAGCACGGTCTAGCTTTGCGACCCCACGATCCTGTGACCTGCGCGACCCAAGTTTCGCTTTTCAGATCCTCTGCGCCAACTACTTCCACCTCAAAGCCCGGAACCTTCAGATGCAGGCCCAAGTTGCAAATAAGACTTTCTTTTGGGCACTGGGATCTTGAGTTTCATTGGATTCCTGAGCAGGAACACATCTTGCAGTTTGGGACATGTTTGACTACGGATTCTGTTGAAAGTGTTCACCCTGGGTAGCCATACCCTTCCAGCGAAGCTACAGACCGTTTTCTATGACTGGGCACAGAGGCGAGTTGCGATCTGAACGTACGCACACAAACAAAAAGACAAACCAACCGACAAACTACTGTACACTGTACAGCTTTACAATTGTAGGTCATAGTTGTGGCTCAAGAGGCTTTTCTACGTAGCCTTCCCAAAGGGTACGGGAAACACACAGGTACGACCCTGCTTGAAGGAAACTATACAGGTGCCGGCATTTTCCTTTAAGCAGACTACACACCTGCCTGACATGATACCTGGGCATGCAGTGAGAAGTACTTCAACAGATTCCCTGAAGCCACAGCTCGAGGGTATAGGTTTTGGTTGAGCAAAAGGCCCAGCTTCGTGTATCGTTGCAAGGCACGGCCCCTGTCAAGTTTAACGCCGCAATCCTGGAAAAAAGGATCTCCCAATGCGGGACGGCACACCTGAAAATTTGCGAGCTTCAGCAAATTGGCGATCCCAATACCAAAAGGGATCCATGACTTTGTGGAGTCCCACTATGCTGCAGGAGATTGGCAGCGGGAGGCCCGCCCCCATCCGCTACGCCCTCTACTCCATGTTCCGAAACCTGGCTTTTCGAAGTTTTGGTCTGGGTCATGGTTTCCTTGGGCTCCGGGCGGTCGAGGGTCCTGAATCTGCTTCAGGCTTCACATTCCGATTTTAAGCCATTTTAAGAGTTGTGAGCGTTTCATAATGCCAACAGCCTCTATCAAGCCCTAACGGAGGATTTCATTTGGGCAGCATCGCTCGGGCCGCTCTGATGTCGGCTCCATGCCGGTTTCTTCGTGGCGTGTGACCCGGTTGCGCGCGGGTGTCCTTGTTTGGGAACCGGACACTGAGCTCTGGGAAGTGTGGCTTTGGATTTCACAGGGCTTCGGCATGATCAGGCTAGGTGACTAGGCAAGGTCAGAGAGAAGGGCCAGGCCCACAAGAGTTGAGAAGCACTTCGGTTGAAGTGCTGTGCTGTCCGCCTTTGGGCAGCAAGCCGAGGATACAGGTCTTCGTGCCAGACAGGCCAAACTTGGACAAGTCCTTGAACCAGCAATACCGCGGCTCGGCAGATGAGCTATGTGGAATGAAGTTGGGTTTGGGGATGCTGTCAGAGTATTGGGAGTGTTGGCCGGCCGTTTCCAGGAAGCATCCCTGTCAGGTATTGCCTTCTACCTCTTTTGGCCCTTGATTCAGATTGACCTGTACATCCTTCGCTTTTACAAAGACAGCGTGCTCGTGATGCTGGCGTTGAAGGGCTTCAAGTACATGGATTCTGCCAGACGGGTGGAAGGCTTGCTGAATCGGTCTCGGGGGAAGATCCCTCACCTCACGAAGTTCACTTCCAGGACATCCAGCCTTGCACAAATCTTTTCCGACTGCAGTTCTAAGTGAGTCCTGAGTGAGTGCTAACACACATCTTGGAGCTGCACGCCTCCCAGACCTCAGGGCTTTAGGTCGGCCAAGCCAACGCTAGCCCCGCCGACACAGGATTGAGGCCTTTCTGAAGGGCAGCATGGGCTTCACGAGCATGGTTTGGGCTTTCTTCCTCTTTCGGGAGCCACGGCAGGGCGCGTACCACCAGGTGGAAACTCTGAGCATGAGCCTGGCTCTTATGTTAGTTCCCAGATTTTTCGGTGGGGTTTCAAGTTTCGGGGCAAGGGGGCAACGGAGCTTTTTACTTTTGAGCTTCTGTTGAAAAGTGAGTAAGAGTCAGCGAAGGAAGTCATCCATCACCCAAGTATGGGTTACTCCGGAGCATTCACCTCTTCTGGCGATGCCAGTGCTCTTGATGTTTGGCCTGTGGGTTGGTGATGGCATGCTGCATCTGGTGACGATGTCCTCGAACGCCTTAACGATCTGCTACTGCATTGACGTGGAGATGGTGGGTGGTACCGAAACCGATGCCCTCTACGCCCCAGCCGGCCTCAAGCTGGTCTATCGAGACTTGGGCGGAGGCGAGTCCGAGCGCGAGCTTGCAGAGCTGATGGCAAACAATGCCATCATGCAGTAAAGGTCAGCAAAGTCAGGCATCTCAACATGGGGTCGCTTGAACTTAGCAGCCTTAAGAGCTTCGCAGTGCAGAGCCTTCCGAGCTACTGGGCGCCCAAACGAGGCGTGACATTTCTTTCGGGGCCAAAGAGCTTCGTGTCAGGAAGCTTCCAAAGCAGAAGGTCCTGCAATGCGCCTGCAGCTGTTGCAGCATCAGAAATGTACCTCTTGGTCTGGGGCATTCCATAGTTCGATGCGCATGATCACCCACATGGGCAACTCAGAAAGTGTATAAAACCAAAGCGCTCAAGGTATGATATTTTGTGTCGCACGCCACCGCACCTACTGGTTGGCAGGTCAGGTATGTGTATAAAACCGAAGCACTCAAGGTATGAAATTTCGTGTCGCACGCCACCGCGCCTATTGGTTGGCAGGTCAGGTACTATGCAGGATATGGCACAGCCATTTGAGCAAGCGGGGTGAAATTGACGGAGCTTGAACTCGCAGAGATCTAGCAGATTCAAGCGTTGGGCAGGGACGACTGGCTGCTGCAAGCAGATCTCACGATTATGTGCAAATAGTCCAATGTCTGATTTTTTGTGCGAGAATGTCCTAGGTCATATTGAACATCGCAGCAGCAGCCAGAACTGGCAGGTGCGACATTTCTTCCGTGGTTACAACTTCACAGAAGAGGTTGCAGACCGTTTCTTCGAGTACTTGGACAAGGCGCGCCATCGTCAGACTATCGTGTTTCTTCTTGATAAGAAATGTTTCTCCGCTTGTGGGTTGGGTGCTCGATTAGTCAATTCACCAGCATGTCGGCGGACGGGAGTAACAGTCGCTCGACAGGCTCGGATGCTTTGCAGGGTCGAAAGTCATCAGACAGGAAGGGGAGGAGCAGCAGTGGGCTCAACCCGTTGTGGAACGGTAGAACCAGCGACTGTTGGTTGTGGGAGGAGCTGGGAGTCAACGAGGAGGTTGTGATATCAGTTTGGGGTGAAGCTCGGCACGAGATCGCGTTCTCGACAGGCCACTGGCCCCGAAACTTCCAGAAGTCGTATTAGAAGACAGGAACTTAGGAAACCATAAAACTCTACTTCTACAGGCCTCAAGAAGCAGCCCCGGCTCCACACATCCTAGGGAGCTCGAGTTGCGAGAGTCCAAACCCCCTATCTTGCATGGCAGGAGAAGAGGGGCATGCTTGACTATGCGAAGTTTGTCCGGAGCCCGTCAACTACCGATCCACATGACCTAAGCCTCCACGTAGGAACGGCTTCTGTCCTCCAGCGGTTTGAATTGTGGGTGTGCGGTATACTCGGCCACAGCACGAACCGTGACTGGATGAAAAGTGAGCTTGAAGCCAGTATAGGTTTAGTTCCCAACCTTGCCCCTCGCCTAAGTTAGTACTAAGGTGAACTTCATTCGGCCGTTCCTGGAGGGCGCGATCAACGGCACACCCTTGACTGCGCGTGCGGTGCTTAAGTCTGACGTGGCCGTCGCTGAAGAGTTCGCAAATGCAGCTCTACTCTCAACCCTAAGTCGAAACCCTAAACTCGGTGTCCCGGATCTCCAAAAAGCCCAGAACCTTGAAGCCTAAAACCTACCGAATCTGCGGGGCCTGATAGCATCACAGAGACCCTTGAAGCCGCAATGCGTAGGAGGCGAACGCTCTCAGTTCTAAACCCGAACCCCAAACCTGTAGAGCCCCTAAACCCTATAAACCCTAAACCCTCAACCCTAAACCCTAGACCGCAATGAAGACCAAGAGGAGATCTCACCAGCTGCCGCGGCGCGCGCCGGCCTCGGATATTGTGCCGGCCGACGACTTCGGGGGATTTTTCACGAGTGGGCTGGGGTGTCAATAGGGTCAGAGCAGCCATACTTGCATGCTTGTTGCGATGTTACTGTCATTTAAGTAGTTTTGAGTACTGCTGTTAACCTGTTAATCAGCCGGCTCTCTGGGGCAAGTTGAGGCTGAAGTTCAAGTTGTTGACACAAGGCAAGGATGTGAGACTTTTTGGCCACAGAACGAGAAACGGACTGTGTAGTGTCAGAAGGGCCTGGTTAGAAGAGAGGGAGCCCTAAACCCTAAACCGTAACCCAGAGCCGCGCTGGCAAAGGCCAGCGATGCCCAAGTCGTTGAAATCCGACTTCGGTGACTGTCTCGTTCCCAGCTCCATCGAGAGGCCAGATTCGGTCCTGGAGGACATGCTGGAGGTGGGGAGTATCCGGGAAGCATGAGCCGTTCTCTGAAGTGACACAATCGATCTGATGGCCTTCCGCTGTTCCGCTGAACTAGGTTGTCACTCGCCCTCGAAGTTCTTAAGCTGCGGCTCGAGAGACTTCGCCCTACTGGTAGCTTTGAATCCTTGTGATATGGCTGCAGAGGCTTTTGCAACGGAATTCACAAAGGTTTTGAACCGGTTGGAAGTGCCATTCGAGATGACTGGCTCGCACAAGAAGCGTGCACCATGCGGGCCAAAGCCCACAGCTTTGCGTCCAGTCCGTGCCCGAAAGCTCCGGGGTCCGAATGCGGAGGAGGAGCGTGCGAAGACGTTCGTCCAGGACCTGATCGACGGCGCGTTGGCAGAGGAAGTGGATGTTGCCGGCGAAGACGTGACGTACTGCGACGAGTCGGATGAGGACACCGAGGACGAGGTCGTCAGCCTCTCGGCTCCGAGCGATGACGAAGAGGATGAGGAGGATGAGAGTTTAGGCTTGGCCAGTGTGGTGGCACAGCGTGTCTTCCATGAAGCCTTCCTCCCGGACATGCAGATGCAGGATTCTGCGGAGGATGTTGATGACGATTTCGAGGACGAGTTTGTGGAAGTGGAAGAGGTCGGCGACGAGTTTGTCATGCAGCAGGGCATGGAGCACCTCTGTGCAAAGCTTGGCGGGGAATTGCTCAGCACCACCGTCGAGGCTGCGTGCAGAGGCACGCTTCATGAGACCCTGGCTGAGGGTCGGAAGAAGCCTGAGATTGACATCCAAGCCATCGAAGCCCTTGGCCAGCAGGCCCGGCCCACGCTGGTTCGTGCTGCCCAAGACGGCAGTCTTGGGAAGGCGCTTCAGGAAGCTCAGGTGGAAACTCTCCGAGTTGAGACTCGAGACTGTCTGTTGGCAGCTGCCCGGGATGGCCGCCTTGCTGCTGCCTTGCAGCGTAAGATGGCCACGGAGGACAGCGAAGAGGTCAGTGAGCAGGCCACGGCCAACACACCAGTGGATGTGCCCCGAAAGCCTGAACCGCTTGAACAAGATGTCAAGGAGAAGCCAACCAGCACTCATGCCATGCCAGATTTGCCGTTCTACTTGTGCCCCTCCGTTGGGACGTGGCTCAATCCCTTGGCGTTCCCGGTCCAAGTGCCCACAAAGCCTGAACCGGTTGAACAAGATGTCAAGGAGAAGCCGGCCAGTACTCATGCCATGCCGGATCTGCCGTTCTACTTGTGCCCCTCCGTTGGGACGTGGCTCAATCCTTTGGCGTTCCCGGTCCAAGTGCCTACAAAGCCTGAACCGGTTGAACAACTTAGCATGGGTGCGATGCCAGATCTTCGGGCGGCATGCCGCGCAAAGCGACGCATCATCGGAGCTGTTGTTCGTGTGCCAGCAGAGTCCGTGCCAGAGGATTCCACAACATCTGCCACTTCATTCAAGTTCAATCGTCCTTGGGTGATGGCCGGCTCTCCAGCAGCAGGCCTGCGTTTCAAGGGGCCCACCCGGAAGGAGCCCGATGCGAGTCGAGAGGGTCCAGGAAAGTCCAGCATCGCGGCCATGTTTGAAGCCATGGGCAGTACCGAACTCTACCGCACAGACGAGAAGTTCCCGGACGGCAAGCTGAACATGCCTGGCATGTTGAAATCAGCGTCTGCTGGTTCTGTGTCGGCATTTGCCTTGGACCTGGGCACCACAGTGAGCTCACAGAAACTCCTCGCCACGCCCTTAACAGCTGCTCGCTGCTCGTCAGTTGGTGCTTTGCGCTCCCTAAAGGCAGAAAAGGCAGTGAAGCATGGCGGCACGCTTCCTTTCCTTCAAAAGTCTGGCAACCGTCTTCCACACGTAACGTCGAAGAAGATGCAGGCGTGGTGCTCCGCTACACCCACGACGCTTCAAATGAAGTAGTCCGCTCAAGCGTGCATCCGTTTTCCAAAATCTGTAAAGTCCCAGAGTCCCAGAGGGATGAAACTATCAGCTTTCTCATTAGTTTAAAGTCGACACTAGATGGAGGTATGAGGGGCGGAAAGAGCATGACCGACCAAGCGCGGCTCTCTGCTCTTTCACGCTCTGCCAAAGCTCTTTCAAGATCCCTTCTTGAGTGTTAGAAGAGACTGGTCGTCGCGGGGTTGCCGATCTGTTTTGCCTTTATAGACTCTGGACTACGTAGATTGTCTGATGTAGTGGTGCTTCTGCTTCGAGCAACGCTGCTGCGGCCGGGAGACCTTGCCGTTGCAGGCCTCCCCTGATGTCTCCACGCTCCTTACGTTCTGGAACGGAACAGGTTGCCGTAGTGCACCGACAGCACAGCAAAGCAGGTCTTTGGCTGGTGAATTGTTGGAATTCGGGGTTCTGCCGCATAAAGCCGCAGACCTTGCACACAGCAGCGTCGGCCATCCCAGATCAGTCTGCTAAAAGCAAGGCACATGCTAAGCCGATGTGGCGCGCACTTCGACAGGATGGACGGCGTGTTTCCGGGTGCCGGATACACTTGTCATGCGCAAAAAGACGGCGGCCCTAGTGGCATTGAAAGTGCGAGAACTTGTACATGCACCCTTGAATGATACAGCCGAAAGACCAAAAGTACGAAATGGTCCGCAGGTCACCGACGAGCGCCAGGACCGGCCGTGACCTCGGACTTGGGCACGAAAGCGTGGCTGCACGAGTTGTGCGAGGCCAATGAAGGGGCAGAACGTCTTGAAAGCACCGAAATGCTTGACCAAGCCCAGTATGCAAAACCTGCAAGGCTCCCTTGACCCACCCGGGCATGCTGGTACCTGGCATGCCATGCATTGCAAGGTTGCACGAGTTCGACGGAAAGTTTCAGGCCACGCCCCGGGTGGCATGGGCTTTTCACAAATGAGTGCTTTAGGACATATAGGAGTTGCCTTGGCAGCACTCAGTAGTTGTGGTGTTTTGTGGTCAGAGCTGGCGTCAAGCACTTGTCCTATTACGATCATTCAAAGTCTTATATTGCAGTGTTCATCATCGCAGTAAATTTACTGTTTTTTTTGCAAGGTTCTGCTTGTATTGTGTTCTCCTGCCTACGTTTCTGTTGCTGCCAAACCGAAGACGAAACCTGCCACCCGACGGCCCACACCCGCAACTCAGAACGATATGCCAGAATCGTGGCTATGATAATGCTGATGGCTATCTGTTACCAGTGCCTCTCTGGCAGTTGCATAGCACGGATTCAAGACAGAGTTCTCCTGTCTGCCACTCTTCTTACGTTCGCCTTGCGATGAAAGTATCTTGATGGTAGCCTCGCCTAATCTCATTGCTGCCGCACAATCACTGGACCGAGAAACCCTTGACGTGTGTCTGTTGGGTGGTATATGGTATTAGGTTCTTACATGGTTTGTTCCGGTAGATTCCGGTAGAAAGGCAGAAAATGTAGAAATGAGCCGTAGTTGTGAGACCCTCTTGTCTTGATCCGTGCCTGCTTTGAGTGAATGTGCGAGTCGAAACCCTAGACTCTCGACCCTACGCCCACTTGTCGTGCCGATCCTCCACTTCCAAGGTACAGAAATCTGCACAAGTCTAGGGCCCTCTGAAGCTTGCATCACCCTGAAGCCTGCTCTGAGATTTTGTGGTACAAGTGAAAGTGATTGCTGAGCTGGCGTAGATGGACACAGAGACCTCGTCTGGCGGAGTCCGAGTTGCGAGAGCGTAAACCCTACCATTGCAGTCTCGGAAGATGCTGCTGGAAGGAGTCGCTGCGCATCCTCACCAGCAAGGACTGGAGCCTGAAATTTGCGACTTCTCTGAGACCCCTGTCCTAGGGTTTAGAGCGTAGGTTTTTGGGGTTAGCGGGTGCTTAAGTGGAGGGCTTGGCGTTAAGGCATAGGGCTAAGGGTTAAAATTAGGGTGCTGATCGGCACAGTCCAGGCTCAAAAGAAAAGACAGCTATGCCCAGTGTTTGTTGTGGCTAGGCTGTTACCGTATGTTACTGTTGGGTGCTAGCAATGCCGTCAAGACTGTCGTTCTGTGAGATAATGTGGTTCTAACTCGTTGTATTTTCAGCATTTTTCGTTGTGCTTCCTTTGTACCATGGGCAATCTGCATGAATTGGCTGGTTGCAACGAGCGTGGCATGGGTGTCAGTGACATTGTGCATGTAATGTGTTATGAACGATTTGAAACATGAGCGGGAGTCAGTAGTCCTGATTCTCTGCTACTCGTGTCGGTACTGTTGATATTGTCCCCATGTCATGTTTAGACTATAGCTTGAGATGTTGGTAAGATTGCCGGTGTTGTTGAAAGTCGTGACCCGTGTGGGCATAGTGAATGGCTAGGTTATTCAGAGTCAGAAGAGTCGGCTTTTCGGATCAGGATGCACGTCAAGAGACATTGGGTCATGATTGCTTAGGACCCAGAGGTCGGGATGATGCTGAGTCGCACTCGTCATATCAGTATTCGTCATGACTGCCATATGAATAGTAGTGGGTATCTCAACAGATGTTTCATGCTACATTATGAACAGGGTATTTTTTGGAATCCCGATCGCCCATGTCGTAGATGTCCTTTGCGGCTTTTCCCGCGTTGACATGCCTGCGGCAGCGGGTTTTGCTGGGAGGCACTGGATCGATTTGGCAGCCTTGCAAACGCCTTTCGCTTCGTGGCCGGGCCCCCGGTAGCCTCGGATTTTTGGGCTTCCGGGTGTGGGAGTCTCCTTCAACTCTGGAAGCGGGGTCTAGTGAGGATGCGTTTGTAACGGCGTAGTCCCTGCCTAAACTCTCGGCCACTGGGTTCGGACCAGTAGGGTTTGAGGGTTACTGCCCTCTCGCGCTTCGCTCTTCAGAGTTTGGACTTAGGGTTGAGGGTCAAGGCTGGGGTTTTCCAGGTCCATGTCTAGGAGCTTCGTACTTTAATTGCAAGCCTGGATTTGGGATTTTTGGGCCTTTGATTCGTGGGGCACCTAGTCGCCTGAGCAAGACCGACAAGACCTTCGTCGCGCGTGGGCTGAGGACCTGGACAGAAACTGCAACATGACCAGGACGAGCTGCTCTGACACAAGTTTTTGTCGGGCAAAGTGGTCGCAGTGTTGCCACATGCTGCTGCGTGCTTTCACGGTGAACCGGCTAGTAGTCACAGCCATGTCCGGGGCAGTTGTTGCAGGAACGAAACGGAATACCTCTTCCGCCTTTGCAACTTGCCAGCCGAGTGGGCCTTACACAAACTGGGTTGCTGTTAAGAAACTTAAACTAAGCTACTTAAATAAGGAAGCCGTGCAATTTGCTATGTATCCCCATTCTGGTATCTTAACTTAAGCTCCTTAACAGCAACCCAGCAGTTGCTGTCCTGCGTTGTTTGAGCGGCATGCCTGGTATGGCCCATGGTGCTGCCAGGAATTGGCTGTGAAGTTCCACGATGCAGTCGACACGAACGGGTCGGGCGAGATCTCACTGCAGGACTGCATGTTGATAGCAGAATTTCCTGTGCGCAGAGGTGTCCAACGATAGTTCCCCAAGACTAGACTCACTAGACATCTGCGAGTCCCTTCTGCCGCCATTTGCCCGAGGAGTTTCACGCTGCCCTGGCGCCTTATCTCAGTGATGAGGCTTCCGTGGGTGACCCGATCCTGGCAGAGCCGATTTTCTTGTCCTTGACAGGACCAGAAGCGGCAGCAGCTCAAGAAAAAGAAGGACCTGAATTCTTCCAGTGACTCCAGTGTCCTTGGATGACGCTCCCGTCAAGTTTTTCTGGTGCCGGCGATGGTCCCATAGAAAGGTGTACATGTGTCAATGCTTAGGCTATATCGGGCTCAACGCAAAAAGGACACATCCTTTCCCGTTCGCGATTGCTATGTCCTAAATCCTCTTTGTCAGACCGGGCCCTGGCAAGAGATCCTCTCTGTCTGTTCGTTTCACATACCTCCAGTGCCCTGAATCCATGGCCGGCGTCGTAAACAGTTGCCGCCGCGCCGGGGCCTCTGTGCGGCGAAAGTGCGGGGCTCTCCTGCAGCGGGTGTTTGATGCCGAGCCAAGGCTTTGCATGGTGACCCGGTGCCGCCCCTGCCGGCGCAGCAGGTGGCAGCAGACAGAAGTGTCAGTAGTGTCAGGGCTGAGCCGGGTCCTAGCGGAAGTGTACATGTAGTTAGCGGCTTGCAGCAGCTTTGTGCGGAAGAAGCCTTGTTCGAGTCCAGGCTAGGCCAGTCTGAGTTTTTTTTCCTCCTTTGCCAGTCCGTTGCAAACCCTTCAAGGCTCGTAGTATCGAATTCGAATCCTGATTATTTCCAGTCAAAAATGTCACAAAGCAGCGACTTTCTCAGAGGTGATTCATCTCGGCGGGGCCTCGTCGCCGGGTTCTCGCATGCGCACCGTCCCTCAGGAAAGTCCTGGGATTCTAGGCCCGGATCTTCGGATGACTATGTGCTCCAGTATATACTGATGGAGTTTCATGTCGTGTGACGGTTGCAAGGGAGCCCCGCCTTGGCAGGTTGCCGCCCTGCCGCTCGGGCTCCGCAGCAGACTCGTGGGGTTCAAATTGCTGCTCCTTTGGTTTTTCCGGGCCGGTGCTCCACGAGTTCGAGCATCGAGATGCTGGCGATCTCTGCAGTGCAGCTGCCGCCCCAATGGATGGAGAAGCGGGATTCTGTTACCTTCTTCGCCGTGGACGTGATCTCAGAGAGTGGCGCTTCCTGGAGGGTCATGCGACGGTACACCGACTTCCTGGAGCTCAAGGACCAGCTTGGCCATGTCAGCTCCTCCTTCCCGGCAGCACGCTTCCCCAAGAAGCATTGCTTTAGCTGCGAGGGACAGAAGCTGGAGGCGCGACGAGAGGCTTTGGAGCTCTGGCTGCGCCGTGCCACGGAGCACCCGCGCAGCAGCGCCGAGTGGCTGGGACCTCTTCGTCGTTTCCTGGAGTCCGGCCGAAAGTTCATTACCACAGAATCAAGCGCATCGGCACCTGCGGCCAACAACGATCAGATGGAGGACGACACATTGTTGGAGGTACTGGTGCCGCCCGGTGTTCGAGGAGGCGGGTGAGCACGATGTAGACCATGACCGACCAGTCAAGCATGATGAACTCTTGATCTACATGTCAGGCCAGCTTCTCACTGTCTCGATGCCAGATGGAAATATGAAAACCATCACCTTGCCCAAGGACATTGTCACAATTGATTCCGCTTGTTAAAGATTCATTCACACGTTGTTGGAACACTTCGAGAGACCTGACAAACCGTATTCAGCCTCAGCCGGTCCCTTGGCAGGACGCCGTGTGTGGCTCGCAGCTGAACTTTCGCTACAGCTACTCAAGACGAACTCTTTCACCGGCCGTACCCAAGTAGTTAGGACTAGTAGGAGGCTTGGTCTCGCCAGTTGAACCGCACGAATTCACGACAGGTTGTGGATGCTTCACCACAAGAGAGTGCAGGTCCTCATCTTGATTTGAATGTTCTTGCTTCTTCTTGGCCTCCATGAAGGGGGTCTGCTCAATGGGCAGGCATGCAACTTCGCGATTCCAGCCGCATTAATAATTCTGGGTTTGCTGTGGTGACAGTGAGAAAAGGATGGCTTGTGGCAGTGTGCACGTGGGCCTTGAGTGTCTTCCCGACAGCAACCATGTTCTGCGTCTGCCGGTCTCCCACTTGGCGTCTCTCTGCCTCTGTTTGGCGCTGTGTGCTACTATGTGCTACTTCAGTGTGTTTCAGGACTACCTGCTGAAGCCCTACACTCCCGAGCCGACCAGCCCAGCGCAGCTCTCGCTGTCACTCTTGTGCGGAGCACCTGCAGAGACAGAGTCAGGGCTATGGCGCTAAGCATGCGCTAAGTCTGAATTTCTAGAGCTCCCGTGGCCAAAGGCATGCCGATGAGGACCTGAGATCTGCAAGCAAACGAGCCGGGGCCTCTGCAGAGAATTTGGAGCGGGATGAAAAGGTGCTGCTTAGTCAAAGAGGGAACACGTGACATGCACTATAAACTGCAGCAGATGTGCGATTGTTCGTGTATCTTGGAGTCCTCATACTGCACACTAGAAACATACCTGTGGATGTGACCGCAGGACATGTCTACATCTACGGCTGCAAGTAGACAGTCTGAGACACAGATGCGTCCTAGGGGCATACCATTTTTGCCATCCGTCTGTCTAATGGTCTGTCTGTCGATCTGTCTGTCCGTCTGCACGTAGTCCGTCCGTCTGTCTGTTCGCCTGCTGCGTGTATGAGTGATGACTGATGCATGCAATCGCATTCACTCATGGATGGGTGGATGGATGGATGGATGGGTGGATGTACTGCATGTGGTTTGCGGCAAGAGCTTGTTTAGAGTATGACGTGTTTGCATCTTGCTTTTGTTTCCCGGTCGTTTGCGAATCACGTACACTTGGGCAGCGTGAATCAGTAAGATATTTTGGGGGACACTTCCCTGGTTGTCTGTCTCATTGTCTCTCCGAATTGCCGTCTATTCATCTATCCGTCTATGTATCCGTCTGTCTGGCTATCTGTCTGGCTATCTGTCTGGCTATCTGTCTGGCTATCTGTCTGGTTATCTGTCTATCTGACTATTTGTCTATCTGTCTACTTATCTATCTGAATTTGTCTATTTATCTATCTATCTATTTGTGCTGGTCGACCATGTTCCTCGCCTGACTCCATCGGGTGCGCGTGCTGGGGATCTATCTATTGCGCTAGCTATCTCTTCGTCTATGCGTATTGTCTGTTTATGTAGATAGTTATCCATTTCTCCGTCTAGCCATCCATTTGTATGTCTTGCGACCCATGAGTATGCACCTGCATGTCCAGCGTTTGCAGGATGCACGTGTGTTAGCACGCACAGACGCGTGAAAGAACAGAACATGTTCATCCTAATGCGCAGTTTTCGTGGTTCGTGCGGCCTTGGCCGCTTGAAGCCGCTTCTGGGGCCTCGGGGGGTCTTTTCGGACTTCTGGTTCAGGTGCTTCGGGACTTGTCTTCTGAGCCGGGTGTTCTGATTCCTCCCGAACCTCTCCTTCCTGTCGGGCTTTCGAGCTCTGGACCGTGGTGGGGGCAGCTTCACATTCCATCCAGTCTGGGTTTGCCTTTGCAGTGCGTGTACACGTATGCCAGGCACTGCACCCGCCGCATGTTTGACCTCCCAACTGCCACCTTTAGCTGTCAGCTTTTCTGTTCGTCGTATTCTTCGTTTTGTTCAGCTCTTGTAGGTGCTGTCAGGGGAGCCAGAAGCTGGCTGCAAAGCTTGTTTCTTGTGTGGACATCATTCCTCAGTGTTTGCGTCGAGGCGGCAAGCAAGGAGTGGAACAAACACGTGGACTTTGAGCTCAGGAACGAGCTGAGAAGGCTCATGCAGGACCGGTTTAGATCCGTCGCTGTAAGGCCGGCACATGCTTGCCTCGACTCCCACATCTTCTAACCCGAGACCCTTGCCCCCGCAGCTCCAGAAACTTCAAAACCCGCAGATCTGCTTCCAATGCAAACTTGACTTCGTGAAGGTTTGAGTCTCTCACGCGTCTGCTAGCAGAATTGCCCCGGCTCCACAGAAATTTTCTTCTTTTGCCCAAATCACCCGCGCATTGTCGATGCAGTTTCCATGCGGAAACCCAAGGCCTTAGGCCGCAAGCCCTATTCAGCTCTAATACAGGAGGCAAAAAAGACCTGAACGCGCAGTTTGAACCCTCGGGCTCTCCAATGCCTGGTTAAAGAATTTTTTGATGAGGTTGGGGACGTAGGCCGAAGAAGGTATGGCATATGGGACTCAAGATTGAGAGCTCTATCTGTTGTTGCACGAGAGCTAGGCTTTTCTGTGGAGGTTTGGCGTTTGCAGTTGCGCGGGTTTCGATTTGACTTGCAGGACGTGGGCGACAAGTTGCTCCTCAAGTTTAAGCATGTCCGAGATGCCTTTAAGCCACTGAACTTGCAGAGGCCTGGGGGCGGGTTAGGGGGTTCAGGCTTGTTGCAAAAAGGGGGTTTCGCAAGAGGTTCGGCAGTCTCAGCTGAAATGGTTCAAGGTTTGATGAATATTGGTGGCTTCAGCAGCTAGCAATCCTTGCGTTCAAGCTGCTGAAGTTGAACCAAGCTGTGGCATGTTGTTGTCTGATAAAGGCTTTGAGTTTGGTTGTGGGTTGCTTCGCTTGCTCATGGGCTCCTGCTTGGGCGTTCCTGCTTCTCGTCTCAGTGGGTATCAAGTCTTCGAGATGTGAGGGGACCTGCATTTCCTGATAGTTTCGACGGCTGTCCTCATTCCGATGACAGCAGGCAACATCCTCACTGAAACCAACGACCCAACCCTAAACCAAACAGCCCTACACCATCAGACGGCAGAGCCCCAGAGCCTGCTGGAAGGCTGGGGAAGATCACGCGCGAGGAGATGCACAACTTCTTCCGGGGATTTGGCCACCCTGAGGCCGCACTCCCGGAGTGTGGTGGAGGTCAGCTTGGGACTTATGGTGGTATGTTGCAAGGACCCCCAACATGCAAGCCTTAGATCAGTCGCGTTCTATCCGGACATGTGTGGGAGGCTAGTGCCAGTAGTACCGGCAAGTCAGAGAAGAATAACCTGTTGCTTGCAGCTGTTGCCTTTGATGCATAGCTGTGGCCGGGACGGCTGGGCCCATCTTCGCAGCTCAATGTTTATGATGGACGGTTGACTTTTCCGGTAGGTTAGATACTTGTATTCTGAGCAGGAGGTGGCGGACAGAATATTCGACCTTCTGGACCAGGACGGTCTTCAGTCGTCTTATGCTTTTGGTCTTGCCACTACTGCAGGATAGCCGGCAAAGGGATAAACAACTGCAGGCAGTTTGTCTTGAATCCCTCTTGCGTGGAGCCGGAAACACCGGAAAGCCTTGTGCTTCGCCCAATCATCCACGAGCCTGCCCCCGAAACCGAGTGACCTTGGCACATTTCTCGGATGCCAGGAAGGGAAGGGGGAGATCGAGTACTCTGTGTTCATGTCCCACTTCGAGTCCGTGCTCGGGTGCGGCAGCATCGAAGCCAAAGCAGCAAAACACACGTATCTCGAGACAAGAAAGCCCTACCCTAGACCGCAAAGCCTAAATTCCTAAACACCCTACACCCTACGGTCGAGACCTCATGTGGCCTCTTCAGGTTCTGAGAGCATAGGCATAGACCCTATGTTTGTTGCCAGTGGGTGCCTGCCAGCATCTCTTTCACCTCATCAGAACGTGTGGATATTTGCCGAAACCGCGAACTCCTAGACCCTACGGCTTCTATGGAGACTTTCTTCCATTGCTCCGGTGTGTTTTCAAGACGGCAGAGCTAGGAAGCCTCTCTAAGGGCCTGAACCCGCACACCCTAAACACGGACCGTTCCGAGCCCTACGCATCTCGGAGGTTGTTTTTGCTGTTTAGACGCTGAAGAGGCCCATGATCAGGCGGTTCAGCACAGAAACTACCGACCAGAGGATTCCTGGTAGCTTAGGCTTAGATGCAAAAGCAATGAAAGCATAGGAATCGTGGGCAATTGAGGATCGTAAGATCAGGACCTTAACTAGGATACTCATAGCCTACCTTCTGATCTTCGTAGCCCCGGATCCTCCGAGGACACACTAAAACTGCCTAAACCTTGAAAGGAAACTCTAACAACCCTTGCAGAACCTTGAAGAACCCTTGTAAAGCCCTTCTAGAAAGCTTGTAAACCCTTTGCAGAACCTGTGTAAAGCCCTTAAAAGAAGCCCGAACCGAACCCTCCCCCCTCTCCCGCCTTCAAAAGAAGAAAAAGCAAGACTGCAACCTGACCCGAAGCAGGCGGGACTTCCGGAATTTCTCAGAGCAGCCCCCGATCTATTTGGAGGATCCCATCAAGTGTAAGGAGGCCGGAGCACAGGAGGGCAATCATGATCAATGTGATGGCAACCACAAGCATCAACACATTGCCAGGAACAGCAAGAGTGACCACGACAGAACGAGCAGGAGCAAGTAGAACCTAAATAGTTGTATGGGGAGTGACGATGGTGGAGACCTCTTTCGTGGCTCCAGATCAAGACTTCCGTGCCAGGTCAACGAAACCGCGGACAGCCTGAAGCTGCCGCCTAAGAGAAGCTTCACCACACGTCTTAAAGAAGCGGTGTGCAGAATGTGTGTGTGTGTAACATATCTATATGAATATATATATATACATACATATACATACACATACACATACACATACACATACACATATACATGCACATGCACATGCACATGCACATGCACATGCACATGCACATGCACATGCACATGCACATGCACATGCACATGTACATGTATATGTATATGTATATGTATATGTATATGTGTATGTATGTACGTACGTATGTATGTATGTACACATATGTAAATGTATTTTATGAAGTTGTAGGACTTATGCATAAAGCCCAAACTTGCCATTGGGCAGTTTGGGACTCCAGGCGGCGTCTGCTCACGAGGTCCAGGAACATGAAAGAGGCCTGGAAGATTTGGGACTTTCGGAGAATTAGGGGTACCTTCTTTTGGGCTCCCTTAAAACAAGGATTCTACTAATTAGGGTGCTACATTAGGGTCCCCTGTTTTCGGAAACCCCCATTTGAGCTGGCTGAAGTATACCGGCTTTTCGATGACAGAGGGTTTAGCAGGGCTGGGAGTCCGCCAGATGAAGCCGTTGCCGGAGAGCCTGGTGAGTTTGTGGTCGGGCTCTGCAGGCTGTTGACCTTGGCCCGGCAAGCGGGTTTTTGAAGAGCTTGTTCTATTCGGCGACATCCGATGAACTTTTCTGGAACTAGGTTTTTCAAGCCACATGTCATTTTGGGGTGCATGGGGTCAGGGCTGTAATTTGTTGGGGGAGAAAGGCAAACCCAACGTTAGCGAACTCGTTTGATTTTATGCCTCAACAATAATTTTCACAATTGCTTGTGATGCTCGTATGGGTGGTATTTAGGGTATACGGCTATCTCTGACTCTAATTTAAAGGTTCTCGCTCAAGCGCCTCAAGGGATTTGTTTAGGATCTACAATGCGAAGTTTCTGAAATCGTACCTTGAAGTTCCCTAAGCCCTAAACCCTAAACCCTGCAAGTACAGGCCTTCATGGACGATTGATGGTGGCCCGGGCAGTAATGCGACTATGGTGGAGGTACCATCACATCCTCCTGTGCACCTCCCTCAGGGTTCGTTGGCCTGATGGAGCTCTCGGAACCCCGGGACGGTCCTACTGAGTTGGAAGTGGATGTCGCGGCCACGATGTCGCCTTCGGGTACTCAGGTGGAGGCTGTCGTTGATTCGGGGACTGGTGTGTTCGAAAGGGGGGGATGTTCTCCCACCACCAGGATATGCAGCCCATGACGCTGTGTTGGAACAGATCTCAGGAGATGAAGAGGGGACTGATCAACCGAAAGAAGACCCAAAGCAGAACAGTGACGCCAAGTTAGTGTAAGTGTGCGGCCTTTTCTGGAAGTGCCTACAAAAGGCTCCTCCCCACGCCCAGCGAAAAACCCCTTCCCGGATCATACGTGACGGAAGAGGGACGTTTCATTAAAACACCCAAACCCCAAACCTTGAAGCTGTACCCTGCAATGCGGACTCGTCCTAGCTAGGTGGGTGGCAAAAAACACTTTGAAGTCCTGAAGTGAAGGCATTCCGTGCCTTGGACTCCGACCACGACGGCCAGGCTTGTGTCGTCCATCTGGGTAGTTCTCTAAATTAGGGTCCCTTTGAGAGTTTTTTTGATGAGGGTGCCGTACTATATTGGGGACCTAAAAAACGGACCCAAAGAGAGAGAACTAGCCACATGTGCGTTCATGTTACTGGTAGCTCTTGCCACTTGTCTCCGGTTTAAAGTATAAAGCTTCGAGTTGGGAATGCTATCTTATGCCAAATGCTAGTAGGTCGGGTGAGATTTAGACAGGACGGTTGATTTCACCTCAGTTCTTGGGGGTATCAGATCTCCGCGAGCCTGCTTGCGAAGCCACCCCTTCTCCACAGCCCTTCCAAACTTGGCTATCATAAATGGCTGAAAACCTTTGGTGGGTAGGTTAAAGCTCTCGTGCATGAGCACTCCGTGATCTTGATCCCAGATGATTTGCAGGTCAGCCGAAGCGAGCTCCAAAAGTTCGGGAAGAAGTGCCAGCCCCAGACGAAGAAGTGAAGGTGCCGGTGGTGACGGCGGGATGGTGGTACTGGTGGTAGTGGTGGTGGTGGTGGTGGTGGAGGTGGTAGTTGTGACGGTGGTGGCGGTGGTGGTGGCAGTTGTCGTCGTGGTAGCAGAAGTAATTATGCAGTATTCCCATTCTTCTTCCTTCGGTATTGTTGTCGTTGTTTTGTTACTGGTAGTAGTGGTTAAGCAGCATCAGTACTAGGAGCAGAAGCAGCGGTGGAAGCAGTAGCAGTGGTGCGGCAGTAGTAGTAGTAGAAGAAGAAGTAGTAGTGGTAGTAGTAGTAGTAGTAGTAGCAGCAGTAGCAGCAGCAGCAGCAGCAGCAGTAGTAGTAGTAGCAGCAGCAGCAGCAGCAGCTGCAGCAGCTGCAGCTCAGTGGCACATTCCTAGTAGCATTCCTTCCTTCACTCCTTCATTCCTTTAGTCCTTACTTGATTGATTCACCCTGCAAACATTTATTAATTCGTTCGTTTGTTCATTCATTCATGTCCATGCACTCAAGCATTCATTGATTGTCTCACTGATTCAATCACTGTTCACTCAATGATTCAGTCATTCACTCTTCCGTATGATTTGGTATCTTTTCGTGCGATTCATTCATTCAGTCATTCATTGATTCATTAATTCATTCATTCAATCATCCATTCTTTATCCATTCCATTCCATTCCATTCCATTCCATTCCATTCCATTCCATTCCATTCCATCATTCATTCATTCATTTATTCATTCATCCATTCATTCATTCATCCATTCCATTCCATTCCATTCCATTCCATCATTCGTTCCATCATTCATTCATTCATTTATTCATTCATCCAGTCATTCATCCGTTCATTCATTCATTCATTCATTAATTCGTTCATTCGTTCATCCATTCTTTAATTCGTTCATGCATTCATTCGTTCATTCGTTCATTCGTTCATTCATTGATTCATTCCTTCATTCATTCCTTAATTCCTTCCTTCCTTCCTTCCTTCCTTCCTTCCTTCCGTCCTTCATTCATTCAACTCATGCATTCATGGTGCCCTGATTCGCGGTGGTGGTGGTGGTGGTGGTGGTGGTAGTAGTAGTTGTTGTTGTGGGAGGACTGGGAGTAGGAGTAGGAGTAGAAGAAGTAGAAGTAGCAATAGTAGTAGCAGCAGGAGTAGTTAGTAGTAGCGGTAGTAGAAGACGTAGTAGTAGAAGAAGAAGTATCAGTAGTCGTTAGTAGTAGTAGCAGCAGGAGGAGGAGGCGGAGGAGGAGGAGGAGGAGGAGGAGGAGGCGGAGGCGGAGGCGGATGAGGAGGGGCAGGAGGAGTCGTAGTCGTCGTCGGAGGAGCAGCAGCAGCAGCAGCACACTACTGCATCTGCAGCTGTGGCTGCTACTATCACTTCGACTCTGCGCTTGCTGCTGTGACTTCGTCTTCTGCGCAGGGTCGGCGTTACCATGCAGTCCTGTGATCAGCTCTTCGACGCTTTGGACGTGGAGGGTGTGGGCTGCGCTTCCACGCTTGGGGAGTTGAGGCGTAGGGTGCTGGTTGTAAGATGCAGTCTGCTGGAGCATCTTTCCTCAAGAAGTGGGCTGGGGCAAGGACATGTTAAGTGGGTCTTGATTGGAGCTTTGTGGAGTATTGCGATAACGACCCGTGGAACAGGCAACAGAGACCAGGCGAGTGTGTGTGGCCCCGCTTGCTGAATGCTGATATCAGTTTCGTGCCCCCTTTTTCCAAGCTTCCAGCAAACATCCTTTGCAGCCCTCAACCTGCGGCATCTGCTCGTGGGGTGGCAGGCTCCATCAACTTTCTACAGCGCGGGCCTTGTTCCACGTGAGCTTCTGCCCCTGTTGCATTCTGAACTGCCTCCCGTGGGGGCGATCTTCCAGGTTCACTCGGATCTTTCCAGAGGGGAAAAACGCAGGCGCGTCAAAGCTGCTCGGGGTTCAGGAGCTCGTTGAAAGATCACCTTTTGGTGCCTGCGTCACACCTTGCGCATTGGGGCATAAGGGCTCAACCCCCGGACCTTGCGTTCCTTCGTCCTCATCCCCTGCCTTGGCAAATGGTTCTGGGCCCTGAGATTCAACCCTAAACTTCAAACCCTCTATGTGGAGCCTTGCCTGCCTTGTGCGAGTTGCCGTCTCTCCCATCGGGAGTCTCACAGGCCCTGAAGGTCCAAAGAGCATTTCTGGATTCTGTGGCGCAGAGCGGCCTGCTAGGTAGAGAAGGCCACCCTCTACTCGCAGCACTTCAAAGCCCAAAGTTTCAAATCAAATCCCGAACCTTGAACCTAAACTGCGCTGTTGGAGGCACGCCCAGAGCGGTCTATGCAAAGCCTGTTCCCCAACCTCCGGAGCTTCTGTAGTCGATTTTGAGAACCCTTTTGGCTAGGCGGTGTTCCTTCCCGAGCGACCTCAGAAATTTGGGGGTCGAACTCGGGCCTAGCATCGTGCCTCTTTTTTGAGGACGTCCCAAGGACTCCTCGCAGTTAGCCCGCTGGCCGCGCAACTGCGGCTGCAGCTGCTGGTCCAAGTGCCGAAGGCCTTGTTCCAAGCTCGTCGGACCTTTAGACTCGTTGCAAAACGGCTGTTTCCAGCACCTCTCAGAGAAACGAATTTGTGGTTGTCGTGCTGGTGCAGAGCCGCGCAGCTTATCGCAACTCCTTCACATCACGAAAATCAGTGCTGTCCCACCGCTACTCTGTGTGTCCAGTGTTGCAGGTTGTGCCAAAATCATGTACAGGTATCGCATGGGGACTTTTTCGAGGTTTGCATCTTAGCATGTGTCTGTGTGTGTGTGTGTGTTTCATGTCAGCTCAAGTTTGAACAATTTCTTCAACAACTGACCCTTTTTCTTGAGAACTCACGCGGTCCTCATGGCCGGCGATGCCAAGCCAAAGGAGGATCCCTTGCGAGCGACTCGGTCAAGATATTTGGGCTTCACGTGTTTTTTTCTTTCAAAATGAAGCAGGGTCTAGGGTTTTGGGTTTAGGGTTTAGGGTTTAGGGTAGCTGGCTTGAAGCCTTGAAGCTGGAAGTTGGGTGTGGCAGGAAATCAAAGCGTCCCTGGACCGGCATCTCGGCTTCAGCCCACCCAGATCCCTTTGCCCGGAAGCCTGCAGCCACACCCGCCCACAATGCCCAAATGCAAGAGCATCATTCAGCCTTCCATACGGTCTTGGCTGCAACAGTGTGACATTCCACGGCAGGACGGATCAACAGAGGACGGCATCTTGCATCG